CCCCCCAAAACTCCCTAAACCCCGAAGCCCCCGAAGCCCCGGCCCTGCTTTTGCCTGGCAGTGGCCTCTCGGAAGCGGTGTCCACCATGCAGCCAGGCTCGGGAGCTCTTGGGATCTGTTTGTTTTGGTTTAGGGTTTAGGGTTTAAGGGGTATGGGATCTACTACTTAAAGGGGCTATAAGTCGGCTTAGGGTTTGGGGTCATAAGGCCCTTTGGGGTTTTGGTTTAGGGTTTGGGGTTTAGGGTCTATTTCGGGCTATAAGGGGTTAGGATTTAGGGGTTTAGGGGTTTGGGGTTTAAGGGGATCTAGTACCTAAAAGGGCTCCTTAAAGGGATCCTAAAAGGCATCCCTAAAGGGTTCCTTAAGGGGTTCTAGAAGGATTTCGGGCTATAAGGGGTACAAGTACAAGAGCTTGGTATAAGGGTTGCTTGGAAGGCTTTTGATGTAAGGATCGGAATAATTGCCAATACTATCCTTTGCGGTGTGTTTTGATAATGGCGATACTAGAACTTTGAACCCCAAACCCTTCTCTACTTATTAAGGCAGCTGTGTTGGAGCTGTTCCGAAGGGCTGTTGGTATTTACACCGAAGCGCTGCCAAGTGCCTCAAGCTCCAACGATCTGTGGGCACCGCTGGCTCTTCCCAATCCCAAGTTGCAACTCTTACTCTCAACAGCTCCGAAGCTCCGAGTCTGTTTTGATTAAACCCTAAACCCTAAGTTAACCCTAAACCCTAAGCTAACCCTAAACCCTAAGTTGAGTCCTTTTTTTAATTTAAAGAAACAGCCTCCGAAGCCCCCCCCCCTCCTCCCACGAGGGCCATGGCCTCTGCTCCAGGCGGCATCCGTCGAGTCATCATCCCTCAAAGCCTTGGGCCGCCTGGCGCATCCCTGAAGCGGTTTTTTGGGGGTGTAGGGGTTTAGGGGGCTTTGGGGTTTTGGGGTTTAGGGGCTGAGGGATTAGGGGTTTACGGGTTTAGGGGCTTTGGGGGTTTAGGGGTTCGGGGTTTAGGGATTTAGGGTTTAGGGGTTTAGGGTTTGGGATGACGAAACTATGCGGGTTCCAGTGAAGAGGTAGGCCCTGGTTGCTCCTTCCCGGGCATCAAACCTTAGCGTGGCTGTTATGCTTTCGGGCTTTGGTATATCATGGCCCGCGTTTTTTCGTGTGAAGAGACGGGATCGAGACGTGCAAAGCAGCCGTTGCAGAGCCTCGGTTTCGTTTCGCGCAGAGATTTGAGAGTCCCAGGCATCTAGGCCGACGGTAGCTGCTACCTTGTGGCCCTAAAGATGGGCTCCGAATTAAGGCCCGCCCTTTCAGGGAGACTCTGTGACCCGAGGGATCGCTTGTGGCTCCACTCAGAGTTTTGTCTTCAGGGTGTTGTCAGGAAAGGGCTCCCCAGGATCACAGGGCTTTAGGTACCCTTCATGCCGAAATAGTTCGAACATTGGCAAAGCCCTCGATTCGAAAAGCTGCCAAGGTTTACGGACGAGTCAAAGTATCTCCGGGCTTGCTTGATCTGCCCGGCACGATGGATGATTATGTCACACATGTCCGCACAGACGACCGCGCGTTTGCTCGAGTGGGCTTTATGCTGTCTAAAGCACACTTGTCTTAAGAATCGTAGTCGTCCACGTCCCAGACAAAAGGTAGACATTCCATCGCGGTGACTTTTCGGAGCAGCCAACTTCTCCGACACTTTTAGCCAGGCAACCTATCCCTCCCAACTTCGCCGAGTTCCAGCGCCCCGCAGCTGCACTCCGAAGTTTCAGGGAGGGCCAGGCGAAGGCACTGTCACCCAAAGCGCATAGGCGGGAGAGAGCAGGTCTCCTGAAATCGAGAGATATACAAAGTTCATATCACCTGATATATACTACGATGCATTATAAATTATAACCTATACATACTATAAACTACATAGTAATATGGAGAGGTCTGAAGCGGTCGCAGAGGCATCTTGCAGTCCAAGATCCACATCGCGATCACGATCACCTGCGAGTTGCAGTAGACATCACCGTTTAGGGTTTAGGGTTTAGGGCTTTTTATACACAAAGTCTAGAAAGGCCTTGGAAAAGAACGCAAAGCCCCCTCTCCAAACGAAACAGACCCTAAGAGATGTCGTCCGAGCAAGGCTGCCGTGTCTTCCTTCAAACAGAGATCATGGACCTTAGATAATGGCTCGATTTCTATCCTACTTATGGCGGCCCCTACTCCTTCACGTAGGGCGGTTGGTGCCCAGGTTTTCGCAACATCTACTTGAACCCAAATCGGGTGCACCTGGCCTGGCAAAAACCAGGGCAAGCGTTGAGGGGCTTCTGAGATCTCACCTCGTTCCAGTTGTTGTGAGTCTCGAGGGGGCCGAGGTGAGCATGTTGAGTCTGCCGTAGCTGTGTCAGCAGTTGGGTACAGTTTACATCTGGGATCAGAGTGGAACGCGCAAAAATGCCAGATGATCAGTGCATCTTCTAGGCATCTTGCGAACACACGCTCCTTCGCGGAGCCGTGGCTCGCATCATTCATGGGGCCGGTTGGACCCAGCTTGCTGTTTCCCTTGCTTGACGTGGTATCGATTTTTAGGATCCGGAAACCTGAAGCTGTATAATATAATATAATATAATATGATATGATATACTATGAAATGATATCATATGAAATGATATAATATAATATGATATAATATAGTATGATATAATATATGTAGGCACTGCCCCATGGCCAGGTCTACCAGCCAGATCTCGTCCTGGACGTGAAGCTCTTCACCTTCGGAGAGAAATGAGGCAACCTGGGTTTAGGGTTTAGGGGTTAAGGGTTTAGGGCTTAAGGGTTTAGGGCTTAAGGGTTTAAGGGTTTAAGGTTTAGGGTTTAAGGGTTTAGGGCTGATGTATCCGGTAACCGTGGAATGACTTCAATTTTTTAAGATTCAAGGTGAGAGAAGGTCGGGGAACTGAGAGAACCGGGGAGGCCAAATCTGTCGTTGTTTGCACTTCGGTGCGGAGGTGTGGTTTGGCGTCGGGGAGGGCATTTGCACGCAGCTCATTTCGGCAGCCTCGCAAAGTCACAGAGGCTGGTTGGCCGAATGCTAGACTCTCCTGGATCCAACAATGTGGGAGAGAACTTCGTGGAAAGTGACAGAGGTACCATTGACGGATTGCGTACTCGAGGTACGTGAACGAACCAGAGTGATTCAACCCTATGGGGACGGGGAAGCAGCATGATGTGATTTAAATCTTGTAGCCAGCACATGTCAGACAGGAAGGCAGGACATCTTCAAGAATCAGAATGAATGTCCTGAAGCCGATACCCTAAACCCTACACCCCTAAACCCCTAAACCCTAAATCCTACACCCTAAACCCCTAAACCCCTAAACCCTAAACCCTAAACCCCTAAACCCCTAAACCCTAATTTCCTGAAGCCTCTGACTTCTTAATTCTCAACCCCAAATCGCTCCCGAGTCGAAGTCCCCGTTGCAACCCGCTGTTCCCAAAGACTCCAACTATCCCTTAAAACAAGGAATATGCCTTAAATCTCATTAGGGTTCCTATAAGAATTTAAGGTAGCTATTCCTGAATTAAGGGATATTGGACGAATAATATGCCCTAAACCAACACATAAGGATTCCATTATCAATTAAGGTATATCCCTCAATTCATCTAGGGATTTTGGAGTCTCTTGGTTGATGATGTTCCGATGCTCCGAAAGCCAGGTCTTCCCGATGGCCTTCGCTGTGCGAAGGCAGGATGGACTCGGCAGGCTACATTGCGGCGAAAAGAGTCCGGAGAGGTCTAACATTAAGGGTTTGGGGTTCAGGGGTTAGGGTTTAAGGGTTTTGTAACCATGAGGGCCAATTAAGGGTGTAGGGTTTAGGGTTTTGTAACTATAAGGGCCAATTAAGGGTTTAGGAATCAGGGGTTTAGGGTTTCAGGGTTTTGTAGCTCTTAGCTACCTAAAGTGTGCAACGCACGTTAGATTAGATGTTACACATTTATTCTCCTCTCCAAGAGGACTTGCCGTGCCTTGTCCCAGAGACGAGCTCGAGATTCGAGATCTGGGACTTTGAGTTAGGAGAGTCCCAAATAAGATGCTATGTAGGGGTTCTTTTTAAGGTGTCAAAAGGGGATCTATGAGGGTATTATCATACAGACGCCTAAATAATGACCAATACTATGTTGTGGGTTCCTGACGGATAACCGTAGAATATGTCCCCAAAGCCCTATTGGACATACTAAGGCCCCCAGATTAGGCCACCCAACGTCGGCTTTGGAAGTGCGAGCCCGCTTGCACGTACGAGTCGGCACTTTGCGGGTCCAGGTGCTGAATAATAATCATAATAATGATACCAATAATAAGAGTAAGAACAATACTAATAATAGCAATAACAATAATAATAATAGGAATAATAAGAAGAATAAGAACAAGAAGAGCAACAACCAAATATTAATCATAATTATAGCAGTTCTGCAAGTGCCAGTTGTCTTCGCCGAGAATTTGAGGATTCAAGCGCTGTAGTTCGTATCAGCGTGCATCTGATGGGTGGCTCCTGGTCCACATACACGGCCCCGGCTGAGATCGAAACGCAATGGCACCAGGGCAGCAGAAGGGGGTAGTTCTCTACAGTAGGGTGAAATTTTGGGGGTCTTCTTTTAATAAGGGTGCCGGGACCTAAGATAAGGGACCCGAACTTAGAAAGCCATCCAGAAGGAAGTAGTGTCTCTCAAGTGCTTTTGTGGCCTTGAACCTCAAAGCTTCGTTGCCGGGGGCAGCGACCCTCAGCAAAGGCCAAAAATTGGTCACGGTCTGTGTCAAGAAGAATAACTCATGCTTGGGTATGGCCCCTGGGGTCTGGGCCAGAATCTCATGAAGCTCTCATCACTTGGTCTTGCTGGGTCGGAAGGTGCATGTACTTTGGATACAAACTAATCAGGAATATGCAAAAGCATCTGCGTGCATTCACTGTGCGTACGTACGTGCAATCACAACGCACCTCGTACGTGTATACGTCCACATGTGTGCTCAGCTGACGCTCCCTGTGCCAGCGAGGTTCCACGACTTTGAGAAGGATCTCCCATCCCTGGAAGGCAAGATCGTCTGTGTGACGGGCTGCACCACTGGAACTGGCTTCATTGCTGCCAGGACAGGGGCCGGCATGAGTCTCCCACGTGCTAGGTCTAGGTACTTCTGCCGTGATTTTCAATGTGTCGCGGCGTTGTATCTGATATATCTCCGGGAGCCCTACGTGTAAGCGCGCCATCGTGCAGCACGGAGCTTTTCGCAGGACAGCTGCCAAGAAAGGAGCCCATGTGGTCATGCTGAATCGCCAGAGCACCCTTGCTGCAAAGCGACATCAGCATGGCAAAAGGAGTCGTGCCTGTGTTTTCTGGAGAAGTATTGGATTCAGTGCTACACAGTTGCACTGGAGCACTGACTCCTGCCTTGGCATGTACAACTCTCAAACCAGATCAGTGGCGCCACGTGGGAATACAAGCATTATGTTCGCCTCTCTTCAGTCATGTCGTCACCATTGTGCATCCTTTTTTTCGGAAATCCCAGATGATCCTACACCTGAAGCATCGGCCGTCGGGGATGTTCCTCAGATACCTTGCACTCTCACACATTTGACACTCTTTGTGTAGATAGCTCGACCGATACCTTCAGCCTTGCAGGGCAAGGGAGTGGACTCATCTTCGCTGAGTAGATAGCAGTTGAAGCGATTGTCCTTTCGTAGTAAGACGAACCCATGACGGAACCTTAAGGGTGAACCCTATTCTCGCCACAGCTATGAAGGCCCCCTGTATGAGTCGGATTCGTGCGAGGGGCTTCGTCGCACAGCCAAGGCGCACGAGCTGAGGCAGCCGAGAAGTCTCTGTTGGAAGTCGCACCAGGCATCTGCTGTTTCCGTCTTGAAGACTTAACGTAGGTATAGGATTTAGGCTTTAGGACTTATTTAGGGTTTCGGGTTTAGGGTTCAGGCTTTTGGGTTCAGGGTTGTGGGTATCTTAACCTACCACACGCAGAGCACTTTTTTCTGCGGAGAGTTGAAAACAACCTCTGTAAAAAAAACTATTCTAGAGGCCCTCCAAAAGCACAACCTGTGCTAGAAGAAACACGCGATTTGTGTTGACCCGGATTGATGGTTTGTAGCGGAGTCAGGATACGAAATGCAACAGCTCTTGAAAGAGTTAGGCACCAGATCCGTAAGCCGAAGCCTGGCACAGACTGTTCATGAAAGACAGATCCCTTTCATACCGATATTCACAATAGCCGCTGTTTACGAGAAGGAACTTGTAGCCTTCCCCTGAACCCTAGACGCTTAACCCCTCTACCCCAAACCCCTTGACCTTAAGCTACCCCAAACCCCAAACCCTAAACCCTATAACCCTAAACCCTACTACCCCAAACCCTAAAGGCCGTAAAGGTTGCCCGAAGCTCTGGGCTCCGCTCCAGGCAGCAACGTCACTACCGTGGCCTGCGACCTTCAAAGCTTCGACAGCCTCTTGGCAAGATCGGGGCCCCTCTTTTGGTGTACTGCTGGGCTCTAGGGGGTTTAGGGTTTAGGGTTTAGGGCTGCAGGTTTAGGGTTTAGGGTTTAGGCCTAGGGTTTAGGGTTGAGGGTGTAAGGCTCTTCGAGCATTGCTCTCTCTGCTTCTGCATCCACCCAACACTTAAAAAATCAGGGTTTTGGGCGTCTTTAGGGTTTGGCATTGCTGCGTTTCTCTGCCCGTTCACCCACGAGCGCCCATGAAGCCTTCACCGAGCCCCATGCAGACCCTTTGAGCCTTGATCTGGCATCGCATACGAAGTCGAAAGAGAATACTAACAATAATTACTTCTACTGTTGAGCAAAAACCGAGGTGTGAAAGAGGCAGCTTCCAAGCTCAAGTCGATGCCTCCCGGCCAGTTTAACAGGAGCGAGTCCTTCAGAGGCTAGTTTGCCTTTGGTGGCTTCAGCCCAGCTAAGAGCCAGAGCCCAACATCGAGGCCAAATGTGCAACAGGCTTCCCGTGTAGCAGTTCGAGCAGGAATTCCCTCACACCGTAAGGCCCCGGAAGCATCGTGGCCTTGGCAGGGCCCTTGCGTAGGACTACGACTCAGACGCTTCTTAGCCTATTCTGGCTTTCTGCCTTCGTGTCCGCACCTTAGGGCCAAGAGCCGTGTCGGATTCTGCGGACTGGGGGCATAGGGCTGCCCGCAGCTTTGGGAGAGCAAGTCCACAAGTCGCTGCCACCTTCTAAGGGTTCAGGGCCATACCTATAGTCTCCATTGTAGTTCCTTTTTTGGGGCTACCTTTTAGGATCCTTTATATAGAATTGGTTAAACCAAAAAAGGAACTACAATGGAGACTATAGGTATGTTTTCAGCCAAACGTTGCTGTTGCCAGGCACATGCAGGCCTCCCACAGCCCTGCAACCGAACGCATAAGTTTATACATCTGTTTGAAGTCTCTACTTCGTGCACGTCGAGACAGACTGGTTCGAGTAGCAAGCATCAGAAATCGCTCGAAAAGTCCAGGTTTGCCGACAAAGGCCACGAAGCTGCAACAGAACTTGATCAGAGTTTCCGCAGGCAGGTGTGGATCAGGAAGTTCAGGGCATGCGTTGAGCTTGCCTGCTCAGACTTTCGACCGTTCTCCGAAAAGCTGCTGGCCAAGCCTGACAAATTTAGAGGCAAAACATGCTCTTTTGTAGCCGGCGCTCTTCAACTCTCAAAGGGAGATCTTGCCCCTGATTTCGAGAAGCACAGAGACAACACTACACGGTACCCAAACGCAGTCCCAACCGCATCCTGTGGGGTTCAGGTTTAGGATTTAGGATTTAGGGTTTAGAGTTTAGGATTTGGGGTTTAGGGTTTAGGGTTCAGGGTGTAGGGGTTCACTCTCAGGCATTGACGTTCTTTGCAACAATGCCGGCGTCATGGCCTTGCCAGACGAGGCGCCGCGTAAGAGCGCCACCCCCACGGTTCCCAGAGACTCCAAGATCCCCTTAATTAAGGAATATACTATATTAAATTATATAATTAGGGATCCTACTATAATTTAAGGTATATATTCCTTAATTAAGGACTATACCTTAAATTCTTTAATCATAGTAGGGATCCTACTCTTATGTAAGGTGTATATTCCTTAATTAAGTTAATGGTTTTTTGGAGTCTCTGGGTTCACCTTTCTGGGTCCCGCAAACCTGGCACAAGGCCCCTTTTTTTCGACTAGACAATTACGGATCTCTGCATTCCTCCAGCCCTAAAGGCAGCCGAAAAGTACCGCAATGAGAAGTGTAAGGAAACCCGTCTACTGTAGGCTCTCTGGTTCTTAGTAGGGAATGGGGGAATGGATCCCTATGATAGTCCCTTAAGGTCCCTTATAGTAGTCCCAATAACCCATTCCCCCATTCCCTACTAAGAACCAGTCAGTAGGAGTGCCCAATGCCCCGCAGTCTCCGACACTGCACATGGGTACCAGTGCCCTCACAGAAGCCTTGCTACTTTGTGGTTCAATGCTGTACTCACCTTTTTCTGCGAGAAATGTCTCTCTAAAGTGTAGCTCCTGCCCCAAACACAGTGCTGCTTCTCACATGATGCTTGCCTTGCAGCAGCGGTCGCGCAGTTTTTTCTAAGCTCTCTGTGATTCCTTGAAGAGGCCACGAAGGACGGCTACGACGTGCAGATGCAGAGTCTTGCACAAAAAAACATATCAGTGGTGACTGTGGGATTCAGGCGCTCTGTGGAGATGCCTTGCGGCTTCCGGTAATGACATCGTAGACAAGCATGGACCAGCATTGGCTAGCGATGAAGACGAGTGTGAACTGGCCAGTGGAAAATCACTAGAGTACTGGAGAGCATCCCGAAACCGCAGAAAACCCGTGAATCCTCAACAGCGGGTCCACAATCCTGAATCGAATCAGCCCTGCACCCTCAAATGCCTGAGAACCCTCAACCTTACACAGCCTGAACCCTCGAGACCTTAGACCCTAAAACTGCAACTCTCGACACCCTGCTTCCTACGTCCTTCGACCTTGAAAGTTCCGAACACTAACTAACACCGTAACTAACCGTAGTTAACCTTGAACGCTTTAAAGATTTCCGAAACCCCAAACAAACCGTGGAATCCGGAAACCTCTCCAAGTACGTTCCCCAAAATCTCTCGAATCCCCAAAGCTTGAATCCTGATCGTGCTTCAATCGCGCGGGCGCGTCTCGCAGTGCTCGAATCGGCGCATGAAGGTACGGTGTTTCCGAGAGGATAATGGTAACTGAGGAGTTACGTAGACATGATTCTTAATCTTTGGTGACTTTATTCTTTCAAAAATAGCTAGAAGTGTAATGGTTGCTAGGGTCCCAAGTTCAGTGTAGAAAAGTGGAGGCCCACCCTAGATGTCGAAGTGATAGAGACGTCGTCGCCGCAGCACCTGAGGACCAATCATTTGTCGCACTTCCTCCTGACCAAGGAGCTCTATCCACTGCTCGAGAGACTTCAAAAGCATACCGGCATGTCACAGGTCTTTGCTGCATTCTGACAACCCTCCCTGTGGCACAGGTAATCTATCACACACGGTGCACTTCTCCAGTCGCCTAAGCTTCGACCTGCTCCATAGTGTCTCATACTATAATACGTGAGATGATATTATGTTGTAATCTCTTGTATACATACATATATATATATATGTACACACTAACTATATACATATATTATATATGTATACATATAATATACATAAGAGCTAAGGAAGGCTGCGCAGCAGCGGGGCGATGCACGGATCGTGAATCACTCCTCAGGCCAGTGGGAGATGAATTCGAAAGTCATAGTATGACACCCTGAAGAGGTATACCTGCACGATATCTATGCTGTCCCTGAGGTTTCCTGGTTCTTACGCTGTATTAAATATGTCGTCAGCACTGTTCCAGGACCTTCGCAGGTTTTTGGATGGGCTTTCGGATCGCGGCTTCTTTGTCAGGGAAAAGACCAGTGCACACCCCTAAAACCCTAAACGCTAAACCCACCCCAGGCGCGCGGAAGTTTCCGAGCAAAGAGCTGGACGCAGACTACCTGGGGAATTGCCTCGGCCTGTCAAGGCCAGCCACACCAGGTCACGCAGGTGCGGAGGATGCTGATGCTAGCGTCACCCTGGAATGTAGTTGCTACGTATTGCTGCTCTGATGTCAGGATTCTGCCCGAACATTCAGATGTTCGAGGCGTAAGTAAGTGCGAGGTTCTGGTTTGTGATTCTGGCTTTCAACAGGGTCATGGCCTGGACACTTCGAGTTCGATGCACGAACTCCAGCGTTTCACCTCCTTGGGCATCTGTGTTGAGGAACGGCGGCAGCTTGGGCGGCAACGGCAACTCAATGTTCTTCGGCGGTGCTCGCTGGCAGAGGCAAGGCATAATGTTGGGACGAAGAATAGAAAGGCCGCAAGGCAAAGTGATAGTCGTCGTCTTGAGAATTCTCGGTCGTCATAAGTAGCAGGAGGGAACGAGAGCACACAAGAAATACAGTAACAGTCATCAAATAGCCACAAAGGCAGGAGCTGCAGTAGCAACAATGGTTACTGTGGCCGGAAAAGAGTGGTGAAGCAGCAGAAAACAGGTTCAGGTGTCTGCCAAACTGAGGTGTGGGGCTTCTTTCGTAGCTTTTCCACGTCAGAGTCCATACATGTCGGAAGACACCATGATGCCAACGAGCAAGATCATCGTCCTGAAGTTTGACCCTGAAACCCCTACACCCCTAAACCCCTAAAACCTAAACCCCTACACCCCTAAACCCCTAAAACCCTAAACCCCTAAACCCTAAACCCCTAAAACACCTAAACCCCTAAAACCCCTAAACCTTGAAGTCCTTGGCAGAGGTATCATCAGACGAAGCTGGCCAATGCAGTCTTCACCCTGGCTTTG